TATCTCATCTATTCGTATTTTCTATCTATCTATCTATCTATCTATCTATCTATCTATCTATCTATCTATTCAGGTCGTTCATATCTATCTATCTATCTATCTATCATCTATCTACCTATCTATTTATTCATATCTATCTATCTATCTATCTATCTATCATCTATCTATTCCCTATCCATCTATCTCAGTGTCTTCGTATCTATCTATCTATCTATCTATCATTCTATCTATCTATCCCCTTTCGTATCTATCTATCTATCTATCTATCTATCTATCTATCATCTATCTATCATATCTATCTACCATCTATCTCAATTCGTTCATTCTATCTATCTATCTATCTATCTATCTATCTATCTATCTATCTATCTATCTATCTCATCTATCTATCTATCTATCTCAATTCATCCATTTCTTTCTATCTATCTATCTATTCATCCCTCTATCTATCTATCTATCATCTATCTCATCCATCTATCTATCTATCCCTTTCATCTATCATCCATCTCTATCTATCTATCTATCCGAGTCTGTTCGTATCTATCATCTATCTATCTATCTTCTATCATCTATCTATCATCTATCTCATCCCTATCATTCTATCTCTATCTATTCATCTATCTCATCCCTTTCATTCTATCTTTTCATCCCTTTCGTATCTATCTATCTATCTATCTATCCATCTATCTATCTATCTATCTATCTATTCATCTATCTCATCCCTATCTATCTATCTCATCTATCTATTTCATCTATCTATCTATCTATCTATCTATCTATCTATCTATCTGAGTGCGTTCGTATCTATCTATCATCTATCTATCTATCTATCTATCTCATCCTTCGTATCATCATTCATCTATCCTATCTATCTATCTCATCCATCTCATCCTATCTATCTATCTATCTTCATCCCTTCATTTCATCTATTCTATCTATCTATCCCTCTATCTTCTATCCATTCATTATTTCATCCCTTTCTATCTATCTCATCCCTCATCTATTCATCTATCTATCTATCTATCTCATCCCTTCTATCTATCTATTCTATTCATTTCCATCCCTCTTCTATCTATCTATCTATCTATCTATTCATCTATCTCATCCCTTTCTTACCTATCTATCTATTTCATCCCTTTCATCTATCTATCTATCTATCTATCTATCTATCTATCTATCCCATTCTTTCTTTCTATCTATCTATTTTCATCTTTCTATCTTATCTATCTATCTATCTATCTATCTATCTCATCCCTTTCATCTATCTATCCTATTTCATCCCTTTCGTATCTATTCATCTATCTATCTATCTATTCTATCTATCTATCAGTCTGTTCATATCTCTATCTATCTATCTATCATTCATCTCCATTCATTTTATATCTATCTATCTATCCCTTATCTATCTATCTATTATCTATCTATTCATCTATCCTCATCTATCGTATCTATCTATTCATCTCATCCCTTCTATCTATCTATCTATCTCTATCATCCTCTTTCGTACTCATCACTTTTCCTATCTATTTTGATGTCAATAAATGTAGTCGACTTATCCACGAGTATATACGGTAATATTTTAACACAATAGAATTTTCTCTTTTATTTCTTTTTTTTTTTTTTCTCTTTCTTCCTTTGCTCTCTTTTTCTATTCTTCTTCATATTTTTTCTATACTTTTCTCTTTCTCTGTCACTTCCTTTCTTTCTCCTGATTCTTTCTTTCTTTCTTTCTTTCTTTCTTTCTTTCTTTCTTTCTTTCTTCTGCTAATTTCCATTGTTTTTCTTTTTTTCTTCTTATTCTTTCTTCCTTTCTTTCTTTCTGTCTTTTTTTGACTTTCCTCCGCTTCTCTCTAGTCTTGCTCTTCTCATCTCTTCTTCTTTTCTTCTTTCCTTCCTTCCGTCCTCCCTTAAATCCACCCTCTTTATTGTTCTTTCATTCTTTCTTTCTTCTCGACTGATCTTCTCTTCTCTCTCGTTATGTTCCTCCCCCACTCGCTTCTTTCTTTTTCTTTCTTCCTTCCGGCTTTCCTTCAATCCACCCACTTTCTTTCTTTCTTTCTTCCTTTCTTTATTTCTTTCTTTCTTTCTTTCTTTCTTTCTTTTTTTGACTGATCACCGTTTCTCTTTCGTCTTGCTTTTCTCATGTCATCTTCTTTTCCTCTTTTCTTCCTTCCTTCCTTCCGTCCTTCCTTCATTCCACTCTCTTTCTTGTTCTTTCTTTCTTTCTTTTGACTGTCCTCCGCTTCTCTCTCGTCTTTCCTTCTTCCTTCCTTCCTTCCTTTTCTTTCTTTCTTTAGCTTCCTGTCTTGATTTTATTTTTTTCTTCTTCCTTCCTTTCTTTCTTTCTTTCTTTCTTTCTTTCTTTCTTTTTTTTTGTCCTCTGTCCATTGATTTTTCCTTTTCTTGTTCTTTCTTTCTTTGTTCCATTTCTTTTTTCTTTTTCTTCTTTCTTTTTTTTTTTTTCTTTCTTTTCTTTTCTTTCTTTCTTTCTTTCTTTTGACTGTCATCCTTCTCTCTCATCTTCCTTCCTTCCTTCCTTCCTTTTCTTTTTTTTTCTTTCTTTAGCCAATGTCCATTGATTTTATTTTTTCTTCTTCTTTTTTCTTTCTTTCTTTTTTTTCTTTCTTTCTTTTTTCTTTCTTTTTTTTTTGACTGTCCTCCGCTTCTCTCTCGTCTTCCTTCCTTCCTTCCTTCCTTCCTTCCTTTTTTTTTTTTTTTAGCCAATGTCCATTGATTTTATTTTTTCTTGTTCTTTTTTTCTTTCTTTCTTTTTTTTTCTTTTCTTTCTTTCTTTCTTTCTTTCTTTTCTCTTTCTTTTTCCTTCCTCCTCCGCTTCTTTCTTTCTTTTTGCGTCCATTGATTTTATTTTTTCCTTCCTTCTTTCCTTCCTTCCTTCCTTCCTTCCTTCCTTCCTTCCTTCGTTGTTTCTTTCTTTCTTTAGCCAATGTCCATTGATTTTATTTTTCTTCTTCTTTTTTTCTTCTTGTTCTTTCTTTCTTTCTTTCTTTCTTTCTTTCTTTCTTTTGACTGTCCTCCGCTTCTCTCTCGTCTTCCTCTTCCTTCCTTCCTTCCTTCCTTCCTTCCCTTTTGTTTCTTTCTTTCTTTAGCCAATGTCCATTGATTTTATTTTTCTTCTTCTTTTCTTTCTTTCTTTCTTTCTTTCTTTCTTTCTTTCTTTCTTTCTTTCTTTTGACTGTCCTCCGCTTCTCTCTCGTCTTCCTCTTCCTTCCTTCCTTCCTTCCTTTGTTTCTTTCTTTTATTTAGCCAATGTCCATTGATTTTATTTTTTTCTTCTTCTTTTTTTCTTTTCTTTCTTTCTTTTCTTTCTTTCTTTCTTTCTTTCTTTTGACTGTCCTCCGCTTCTCTCTCGTCTTCCTTCCTTCCTTCCTTCCTTCCTTCCTTCCTTCCTTTTTTCTTTCTTTCTTTAGCCAATGTCCATTGATTTTATTTTTCTTCTTGTTCTTTCTTTCTTTCTTTCTTTCTTTCTTTCTTTCTTTCTTTCTTTTGACTTCTCCTCCTTCTTCCTCTTCCTTCCTTCCTTCCTTCCTTCCTTCTTTCTTTCTTTCTTTAGCCAATGTCCATTGATTTTATTTTCTTCTTGTTCTTTCTTCCTTTCTTTCTTTTTCTTTTCTTTCTTTCTTTTGACTCCCTGATTTCTCGTCTTCCTTTCCTTCTTTTCCTTCCTTTTTTTTTCTTTCTTTTCCATTGATTTTATTTTTTTCTTTTTTTTTTTTCTTTTCTTTCTTTCTTTCTTTCTTTCTTTCTTTCTTTCTTTCTTTTGTCTTCCTCCCTTCTTCCTTCCTTTTCTTCCTTCCTTCCTTGTTTCTTTTTATTTCTTTTTTGTCCATTCTTTCTTTTTTTTTCTTTGTCTTTTTTCTTTTGTTCTTTCTTTCTTTTCCTTCTTTCTTTTCTTTCTTTCTTTCTTTCTTTTGACTGTTTTCCTTCTTTTCTCGTCGTCCTCTTCCTTCCTTCCTTCCTTCCTTCCTTCCTTCCTTCCTTCGTTGTTTCTTTTCTTTTTTCTTTAGCCAATGTCCATTGATTTTATTTTTTCTTCTTTTTTCTTTTCTTTCTTTCTTTCTTTCTTTCTTTTTTTCTTTTGACTCCTCCCTTCTCTCTCGTCTTCCTCTTCCTTCCTTCCTTCCTTCCTTGTTTCTTTCTTTCTTTAGCCAATGTCCATTGATTTTATTTTTCTTCTTGTTCTTTCTTTTTTCTTTCTTTCTTTCTTTCTTTCTTTCTTTCTTTTGACTGTCCTCCGCTTCTCTCTCGTCTTCCTCTTCCTTCCTTCCTTCCTTCCTTGTTTCTTTCTTTCTTTAGCCAATGTCCATTGATTTTATTTTTCTTCTTGTTCTTTCTTTCTTTCTTTCTTTCTTTCTTTCTTTCTTTTGACTGTCCTCCGCTTCTCTCGTCTTCCTTCCTTCCTTCCTTCCTTTTTTTTTTTTTTCTTTCTTTAGCCAATGTCCATTGATTTTATTTTTCTTCTTGTTCTTTCTTTTTTTTTCTTTCTTTCTTTCTTTCTTTCTTCCTTTCTTTCTTTTGTCCTCTTCTCGTCTTCCTCTTCCTTCTTCCCTTCCTTCCTTTTTTTTTTTTTTTTTAGCCAATGTCCATTGATTTTATTTTTCTTCTTGTTTTCTTTCTTTCTTTCTTTCTTTCTTTCTTTCTTTTTTCTTTTTTTTTTGACTGTCCTCCGCTTCTCTCTCTGTCTTCCTCTTCCTTCCTTCCTTCCTTCCTTTTTTTTTTTCTTTCTTTAGCCAATGTCCATTTTTCTTTTGTTTTTCTTTCTTTCTTTTTTTTCTTTCTTTCTTTCTTTCTTTCTTTCCTTTTCTTTCTTTCTTTCTTTGTTGTCTTTCTTTTCTTCTCTTTTTCTTCTTTCTTCTTCTTCCTTCCTTCCTTCCTTCCTTCCTTCCTTCCTTCCTTCCTTCCGTCTTTCCTTCAATCCAACCTCTTTCTTTCTTTCTTTCTTTTTCTTTCTTTCTTTCTTTCTTTTCTTCTGCTAATTTCCATTGATTTTCTTTCTTTCTTCTTGTTCGTCTTTTCTTTCTCCAGTAAAAGTTATAACTCATCCTATTATTTATCTATCATTGTTGTAATGTTTATATTCTGTGTGGAATGTCAACATATTTTATATATATATATATATATATATATATATATATATATATATATATATATATATATATATATATATATATATATAAACTACAACAAGACAGAATGCATGGCCATCAACAAAAAGATGACAGGAAAATACAAATTACAGCTCAGGGATGACTGACGAGGCAGATTTCTTCCCGCAGTAGGTTGCTATTTCTTTTTGCGGTAAACCAGTTGCCATCCAAGGCTATAGAACCAGGTCTGTCCTGCTATTTATCTAGAAAGGGGAGAAGAGGATTCATACCTTTCCCAAGGGTATTATCATGTAAGCGAATGGAATGGATTCGACTGAAAAGTCAGCCAGTCAATTATCTGTCATGCGTGATACACGCTTAGGCGATCAGGTAACGAAAGATACATGACTGACGAGGCAGATTTTTTTCCAGCAGTAGGTTGCCATTTCATTCTACGGTAGACCATCTGCGATCCAAGGCCATAGAACTCGGTCTGTCCTGCTATTTACCTATAGCTGGGGGGAAAATAGGATTCATATCTTTCCCAAGGTTACTAGCGCAGAAGTGAATGTAATGGATTTGTCTGGAATTCGAACTCGGCTCTCCGATTCCTCAATCCTAGCCGCTATCCATTACTTCTTTTCCCGCAGTAGGTTGCCATTTCTTCCTGCGGTAGACCAGTTGCCATCCAAGGTTATAGAACCCGGTCTGTCCTGCTATTTACCCATAGCTGGGAGGAGTAGAAGAGGATTCATATTTTTCCCAAGGGTATTAGCACGTAAGCGAATGTAATGGATTTGACTGGAATTCGAACTCGGCTCTCCATTTCCTCAATCTGAGCCGCTATCTATTACTCCTAAAGTTCACATTTCCTCTTGCGGTAGACCAGTTGCCATCCAATGCTATAGAACCCACAGCTTGAAGGAGAAGAGGATTCATACCTTTTCCCAAGGGTATTAGCACGTAAGTGAATGTTATGGATTCGACTGGAAAGTCAGTTAATTATGTGCCATGCGTGATACACGCTTAGGCGAACATTTATCTTTCGATACATGACTGACGAGGCAGATTTCTTCCTGTAGTAGGTTGCCATTTTATTCTGTGTTATCCAGCTGCTCTGCAACAGTATAGAACCCGCTCTGTCCTGTTATTTACACATAGCTGAATGGGGGGGAAGAAGAGGATTCATATCTTTCCCCAGGGTACTAGGACGTAAGTAAATGTAATGGATTTGACTGGCATTTGAACAGGGATCTCGGATTCCTCAATCCGAGCCGCTATCCATTACACTAAACGGATAGATTGCATAAAGGCTCAAAATGAGATAGCAGTAACATACGTTACTTCCAACGGTATTTGACGTATAAAATAATATTTACAAAGTTTAGTACGTCAGTAATTAGGGTGGGGGGGACATGTTAACCGGGTTTGTATGCTTGACTAGAAAATCGATGTATATTCAAAACTCGCGAGTTCAAATAACGATATCGGCGTTGCTTATTTTATGTTTGTTTTGTCAAGATGCTTGAACCGTTTGCATTGACCTGTCTCCTGTCTATAGTCAACTCATCAGCATGATTTAAATAAAGATTAAGATAAAATAATCCTTTAATCGAAGAAATCGGGACCAATAAAACGATATTTTCTGGAGGAAATCGTGTAAGGAAGATTTTTCAGGCTAAATTTGCTGTTTGCCTGCAGATGCTTATGTGTGGCAATACCGGTAACATTAGATGAGTCCCCAAACAGGTTGGACGCGAGTTCAAATCTTGATGAAAGAATACTTGTTTATTTATATCTAGAGAAAATAAATCATCTTAAGCTTTGAGGTTAACAAAAAACGATAAAAGAAACTCAGTAAAATGAAGGATAATCTCGAGAAAAATAAATTAATAGTGAACATGACTGTTGGAAGAAATTAAAATAACAAGTACACCACATGCAAAAATGTTTGGGGGTACCCTGTATTTCTTTAAAAAAAAAAAAAAAAAACACTATAAAATGAAATATTTTCGATTTTTTTAAAGTAAAATATAAAATTTCTGTAACAACAAAGTCTTTCTTTTTACTTTGATAAAAATAAGCACTTAACCATAAAAAAGATTATCATACAACAGCATCTTATTTTGTTTTCGTCAATAAAACAACCACCTGTCTTAATTACTTCTTTACAAAAAATATATCATACAACAGCATCATATTCTGTTTTCATCAATAAAACCACCACCTGTCTTAATTACCTTTTTACAAAAAATATATCATACAACAGCATCATGTTTTGTTTTCGTCAATAAAACCACCAACTACGTCTTTACAAAAATATAACATACAACAGCATCATATTCCGTTTTCGTCAATAAAACCACCACCTGTCTTAATTACGTCTTTACAAAAA